AATCTGATAAAGAATCCACCTGCAAGATTTCATCGTAATCCATGCATTCGTTTTCGAGGTATCGTGCTAACGAACAGACGGACAGACACTGCAAAATTATAAACTCGCTAGGAGCTCGTTAATAATAGAGAATAGTATCTTGAGTTTTGAAACTGAAGGAGAATGCTTGAAAGGACCTGAAGAAACAGAAGAAATGAAAGCAATATCAAAATCAGAAAAATCCCAGAAAATGCACAGCACAAAAACATTTTGTAACGTGTAGTTACAATATTTGGACTGATTACCTTAAAATTCATAAAAATATGGACTAGCTCACTCGAACCGAACAATTAAAATCTTCCCTGGTATCGAAACTAATTTTCTTGTACCCCTTGACACAGAAAAGCCGATTTCGTTGGACCTCCCTTAACATAGGAAGTCACTAATCAATCTGATTGGCAATGAAACCCAAAAATACGTAATAGTTAAGTATATTGAATCCAAAAGTTATTGCAATTTTTACACACACCAAGTACTGACCACGATCCTCATAGAAATCATCTTGATACGGAATTTCCCCAGGTCAAGGGTCGTATTCGTGTTGTATGAATTTGGCAGGAATAGACAATGGCCCGAAATATGTAGATAGAGTTGCCTTCCTTCACATAGCTTCAACCATCCTTATGTCAAGGTGGGTCTTTGTTGATAATAGATTAACTACTTCAAACATAAAAGTTTATCAGCCTCGGTACGGCTTGGATCAATTTTCGTCGCTCAAGTCTGCCGTCAGAAAACCACTCACGTGGCGCTATCACGAAACAATGCAATCCCAGATACGGAACCGACGCCATTTTTGCGGCTAGCTTGGACTATCGCACGAATGCTAAACGCCGCCCGTGGTTAAACCTACTCACGATTACTATTCGAATGCAGCGGTACACGAAATTTTACAAATATACAATACTCAAATAAAAATTAAAATTTAAACTGCAAAGCGAGCTTTCGTTACAATCCCAATCTAAATCCGAAGAACCATAGAAATCGAAAGACCTCAAAAATCTTTTAAAATCCGACGATGCGAACTCATGAATTCTAAGAAATTGTTATTGTGTAATTGATGCTTTTCGCTTAACCCATTGTACCACCTTCGCTGCACTACTTTTAAGGGTAGGCAAGTCTCTGAACGTTTAATTTAAATGTAGCAATTTTTCGACCTAAAAATGTCCACGGCTAGCTAAGCTTTACATCAATTACCTTGCAACAATTTACTCAGGCAAAGGCAACTTTCTTTTGCAAAAATACTGAAGGGGTCGAGGGGGTGATGGAAGATCGTGAGATCGTAAAGTTATCAGATCGTGCGATCGTAGAATCGTAGGATCGTAGGATCGCAGGTCAGTTAAAGTTGAACTGCGGTACTGAGGGTCCCTGGTTCAAATCCTGGTTCGGGCATATTTGTAAATGTATAGTAGGTTGGGTCGGTAGAGCAGGCTTTTTGAACCCCCCCCCCCCCACTCAGTAATAAAGGCAAAAATAAAAATATAAATTAATAAATCATAGTATCGTAGGGTCGTAGGAGCGGACAGTCGTAGCATCGTAAAATCGTAGGACCGAAAAATCGTAAGATCGTAAAGTTGTCAGATCGTGAGATCGTAGGATCGTAGTATCGCAGGATCGTAGAATCGTAAGATCGTCGGATCACAGGATCGTAATATCGGCGGATCGGCCCTTTTCCGACCCGTGTGGCGCAGGTCAGTTGAAGTTGAACTGCGGTACTGAGGGTCCCTGGTTCAAATCATGGTTCGGGCATGGATATTTGTAAATGTATAGTGGGTTGGGTCGGTAGCGCAGGCTTTTTTGAAACACCCCCTCACTCAGTAATAAAGGCAAAAATAAAAATATAATTAATAAATAAATCGTAGTATCGTAGGGTCGTAGGAGCGGACAATCATAGCATCGTAGGATCGTAAAATCGTAAACTCGTAAAATCGTAAAATCGTAAAATCGTAAAATCGTAAAATCGTAAAATCGTAAAATCGTAAAATCGTAAAATCGTAAAATCGTAAAATCGTAAAATAAAATCGCAAAATAAAATCGTAAAATCGTAAAATCGTAAAATCGTAAAATCGCAAAATCGTAAAATCGTAAAAAAATCGTAAAACCGTAAAATCGTATAATCGTAAAATTGGAAAATCACAAAATCGGAATTTCACGTAATCGGAAAATCGCAAAATCGTAAAAATCGTAAAATCGTAAAATCGTAAAATCGTAAAATCGTAAAATCGTAAAATCGTAAAATCGTAAATCGTAAAATCGTAAAATCGTAAAATCGTAAAATCGTAAAATCGTAAAATCGTAAAATCGTAAAATCGTAAATCGTAAAATCGTAAAATCGTAAAATCGTAAAATCGTAAAATCGTAAAATCGTAAAATCGTAAAATCGTAAAATCGTAAAATCGTAAAATCGTAAAATCGCAAAATCGCAAAATCGCAAAATCGCAAAATCGTAAAATCGTAAAATCGTAAAATCGTAAAATCGTAAAATCGCAAAATCGTAAAATCGTAAAAGCGTCAAATCGTAAAACCGTAAAATCGTATAATCGTAAAATTGGAAAATCACAAAATCGGAATTTCACGTAATCGGAAAATCGCAAAATCGTAAAATCGTAGTCGTAAAATCGTAAAATCGTAAAATCGCACAATCACAAAATCGGAATTTCACGTAATCGGAAAATCGCGAAATCGTAGAATCGCAAAATCGTAACATCGTAGTCGTAAAATCGCAAAATCGCAAAATCATCAAAATCGTAAAATCGTAAAATCGTAAAATCGTAAAATCGTAAAATCGTAAAATCGTAAAATCGTAAAATCGTAAAATCGTAAAATCGTAAAATCGTAAAATCGTAAAATCGCAAAATCGCAAAATCGCAAAATCGCAAAATCGTAAAATCGTAAAATCGTAAAATCGTAAAATCGTAAAATCGCAAAATCGTAAAATCGTAAAAGCGTCAAATCGTAAAACCGTAAAATCGTATAATCGTAAAATTGGAAAATCACAAAATCGGAATTTCACGTAATGGGAAAATCGCAAAATCGTAAAATCGTAGTCGTAAAATCGTAAAATCGTAAAATCGCACAATCACAAAATCGGAATTTCACGTAATCGGAAAATCGCGAAATCGTAGAATCGCAAAATCGTAACATCGTAGTCGTAAAATCGTAAAATCACACAATCACAAAATCGGAATTTCACGTAATCGGAAAATCGCGAAATCGTAGAATCGCAAAATCGTAACATCGTAGTCGTAAAATCGTAAAATCGCACAATCACAAAATCGGAATTTCACGTAATCGGAAAATCGCGAAATCGTAGAATCGCAAAATCGTAACATCGTAGTCGTAAAATCGCAAAATCGCAAAATCACAAAATCGGAAAATCACGTAATCGGATCGCAAAATCGTAAAGTCGCAAAAGCGTAAGATCATGAATTTATGATGATTTTTTTCCTTATAAATTCAAAACTTTAATTTTGCATAAATGAAAAAAGAATGGTACCTCATATACCTACGACGACCTCTTTGCAAGTGACAATGCGGATACAGAATTCAGTTGGATACAATTCTCTTTCAGTGACAATGAATTAGGAAAAATAAGTGACGGATCGTGCTCATTGGCTTTATTGAATTTTCAAGTGATGCAAAATTTCATGGAAAGCTATCTTTTTTGTTGTATCCTTGTAGGTATTTTAAAAGTTACGAACAAACCACCATGTTTTATTAATACAACCAAACAATTGAAAACACTAGGTTAGGTTACCAATCACAGATAGGAGTAAAAAATACGTAAAAATTTGCATCTAATGTTTCTTATTTATTCTTTCTAATGTGTCAATTAGGACGATTTTACAACTACGAATAACCGAATTTCAATCCCTTCCCTAATCCGTGTTTTTTTATGCTCGTATAAAATCGATACATTACAATTTACTTACTTCATACCTTTTTTGATTTTTTCAAAACGCAAATCTGTTCCAAATTCTACCAGAAATCACGGGATACTACTAACTCTCTTGCGATCAATTGACAACTCTCCTTTTTAGGCTACACATCGATTACCCTGGTAGTGAAAAACCCGAATGAATCCCAAAGTTTCATCTAAAAACTAATTCGCACTATTATCTTTACGAAGTACTAAATATTAGCTAAATTCTCATGCTCGGTGTCGCCTTGGTATTCGGATCTCAGAAAAAAATAATTCGCTCTGGCACTAAAATACATAGCAATGACAAGAAACATTTCCAACATGGTTTTAAGAATCTTATTGTGAAAATTCCACTGAACGTAACACCCAGTATGAATAGTATGCAATGCCCAAAGTGCTCTACTTCTTACAAGTCCCACAATTTCTAACTTCATAACCAAATTTCGACAAAATTTAAATGCATATTTAAAGCTACCGTTACATAACCCCTTAGTATCTAATTTTTCAACCGAGTTAGAAGTTTCATTAGTTAAACTTACCTTCGAACAGTGCAAAACTCGCTCTTTCTAACTGAGTTAATACACTAAAGTTCTATACAGCGATTAACTACCGAATCCATTAGATGACTTTTTTATTTTTAGAGTATTTGTAAAAAAAACTGACAAATCGCCAACTGAAAAAACTGAAAACTGAGTTAACTAAGTAACTTTCTAAGTGTTCGCGATATTTTGAACTGCGCAGTTGACGCTTCCGTGTGCCCAAAACGGTTCTCGCCCTCATCTCTACGACAGCTCAAGACGCATTAATTTTTTCCTTTACCTTCGCAAAAAGTGGGCAGCTCCATTATCTATCTATAACGCGTGATGTGATTCAGCTGTACTGTGCTCATTTCTCATAAACCCAAGCTAATTTTATCTTATCTGATCTAGGAGCAACCAGCATCTTGATCCTGTCATCCTGTACACAATCCGGAGTGAGATACCGTGAAACCCCATTCTGCGTGTTTGAAGCAGTTTCGATAATGTATAACGTTGGGTTTCAGGTGGAAAAGCTACTAGCGCCAGTAGCCGTCTCAAAGCCGGAAAAGATATCGCCCGTATCCCTACCGAGCAACATTTTAACAAACATAACCGCCAAACCAAAGACCGAAACCCCAACGTTAAGGGCGGGCGTTTCACTGGACGCCGGCGCGCTGGTCAAGCAGTCGATGTCCTCTCCCAACAAGAAGTCGTACGCTAACCTAAATCCAGACGAAGTGAAGATGGGGAACGGCGTGTTGCAGAACGGACCTTACAAGGAGGGGGTCTTCAGCACGGGCAAAACCCCCAACGGAACGTTGATTAATGATAGTGTTCATTGTTAAAAAAAAAGTGTTAAGGATATTATGTAAATATTTGCAGTTTAAGAGGGAAAACCAAACTCCAAGCGAATTTGTTAATATTTGAGGGCTCAAGGGTATAAAAAAAAGTAGCAAACCGAGATATATTTTTACGAATTATAATGCGGTCACGCTATATTTATTGTGCAGAACTGTACAGTATTGGTAGTTAATGTTTAACTAAACACTGGGGGTTGTTTCGGCCTTTTTAGGTGGTCACATCTTCCAGAACGGTGTACGCCAAATATAAGCTTTATAAACATTATGCGATGTGTGATGTTACTAAGTGCGACTGTTGTATGGATGTCGATGTAGTTTTTTTTAACAAATTTTTTGGGATGGCGCATCAATGTGAACACAAAACATGTCTCTGTCATATGCATGATAAATTACCATATACATACGTGACTGTGTAGACCTACGGTTCAGCTCATAGTAACCCCAAATTTTAAAATGTCTATGGTATGACTTTGATGGGCAAATTCATAAAAGACTACATACAGCTTTAACACACCTCAAAATAGAGTAGACCTTAATTAAGTAGGTGATCTAGATATTAATAATATTGGAGGAGAAAATGTGAGAAATATATCAATTTAGTATTGAAGCGGCGGCCGTGTTGAGAGTTAGTAGAATTTAACTGTAAACCAGAAAATGCATTTACACCATTTGATTATCTTAAAAAAACCACGAACTGTCGTTTGAGAACTACAATATCACGCAGCGAGCAAATTTTGAAAGACTGGAATTACGGTAGAGATTTTATTGTTGAGCTCTGAAACAATTGGTTCGAAGGAAAAAAACGGGTGAAAGGAGTATGTTGGATATATTTTGAAGACCTTTTACATGTCAAAATATTTGTAGCACACTTTTTTCAATGTACCTATTCATACAATAAATCAATGTTGAAGACATGCAGTTTAATTATTGCTATCAATCCTGATCTAGAGCGCATCATTACTAAACTGTTGTAATGCGCATCACTTTACCCATGACATAATCTTTTGGTTCTTCGAGCCGGAGTACGCAGCACAGTGCGAGATTCTCGTGGAGTGTCAGGACGGTAGTCTCCGTCAACAACTCGACAAGAAGCAAGATAAGCGGCGACCGAGTTTATGATTATTACTATCATTATGCTAGGGGTGGTTCCAATTGGTTGCCGCACTGCGACCTTTTGGTGTACTGTGCTCCCCTGTATTGTCAACCCTTCAAGAATACCCGTATATTTAACAGATAGAGCGACAGTACAGTGGCCAATGACAATTTTTGTTGCGAGTTTTATTTTCATCCTACTTAGCTTTAAGATAGGCGGTGTTAATTCTCCGCTGGCGGTTTCCAGAAAGATATCTTGGAATGGTCCTGTCCTGGAATTTTGTCTGAAGTGAGTTTTGCCTGAATTTCCACTAGATACATAGGAGCTAAAGTCACTAAATATAGAAAGTACCGCTATCCATTGGGCTCGTGTGTTAGAGAGAGAACGCATGATTTTTGCCCAAAAATGGCGGAAGTTACCAGATTCTAGTAACTTTAATGTTAGGGATTGTTCCACCTGTTTGGAGATATCTGTATATATTTTTATAAAACATGACAGTAGTATGAAGTTAGGTTATAAAAAATGACAGCTATTCAGATTTTATTTGTCAATTTTTTTAAGTTGGCAGCAAATTTGCCCAAAAATAGCGGATGATTGCGGTACTTTCTATATCTAGTGACTTTAATAGGAGCGACTCTGGACCGCCACCTGGTGATGATTTTGGAAAATAGGGCAAGGTGACGTGCTACTTGGCAGCACCCTTGGAAATTAGGTTAAGGTGAAAGTTGGGTGCCACGTGGGCGGTGACCTTAGAAATTTTGTCAAGATGAAAGTCGGGTGCCACGTGTTAGGTTACTTGGGAAATTAGGTCAACAATTGATGTAATGTTCATTTTCAAGGGCAAGAAATGATAATGGCCCCATTTTGAGGTGTCAAATTACATGTATTCGAGGTCATTCAAGGTTAATCACATCCATTGTGTTGGCAAATTACATTTTCAATGTCATCTAAGATCGATGGCCGAATTGTGACGTAAAAATACATTTTCAATGTCATTCAAGGTCAATGGACCCATTTTTGTGTTGTCAAATTACAATTTCAAGGACGTTCAAGGTCGATGACTGCATTTTTATGTGTCGTGGAATTACATTTTCAAAGTCATCCAAAAACAATGAACCCATTTTTTGTGATATCGGATTACGTTTTCAAGGGCATATATCTCATTGTCCAAAATTACATTCTCGAGGTCATCCAAGGTCAATGAACTCATTTTTTTTGCGGTATCAAATTATATTTTCAAGGGCATTGAAGCGTCCATGCCCCCATGTATTGCCATCTCAAATTACATGTTCGAGGTCACTGAAAGCCGATAACTTTTTTATGTGGGGTGTCTTCAAGGTCATAGAAGGGCAATTTCCTCATCTCTTGCGGTTGAACATAACGTTCATCCAAGGTCACTTTTGCGGCATCAAATTAAATTTTTTAAGGGACATACAAGGTCAATGATTGCATTGTTTGAGGTGCCACATTATGTGTTCAAGGTCATAGATCAATTACATCAATTTTATGTGTTGTATAATTACACTCAAAGTTATCCAAGATCACGTCATTGACTTTTGATGACCTTGAACTAAAAATTGATAGAATAACACAAATGAGGTAATTGAGTTTTGATGGACTCGAAAATGGAATCTAACACAGCAAAAAAGTGGGTCATTAAACTATGATAACATTGAAAATGAACCACAAAAATGGGAGCATTGACCTTGAAAATCAAATTTGATGATCTTGACATTATAATTATACACCACAAAAGATGAGGGCCTTGAAAACACCATACATAAAAAGAAGGTCAATGGCCTTCAGTGACTCCGAACATGTAATTTGAGACCGCATTACATGGGGGGAGGGGCATTGACCTTCTACGCCATTGAAAATATAAATTGAAATCGCAACAAATGGGTTCATTGACCTTGGATCACCTTGGGAATGTACCTAAACACCACATAAAATGAGATCATTGTTCTTTTGTGACCTTGAAAATGTAATTTGACATCACCAAAAATGGGGTTCATTGTCCTTGGATGACCTTGAGAATGTAATTAACACTAGCAGTCCCAAGAGGGGTCAATTGACCCCTATGAAGATTTAAATTTATGTATCTCCCTTATTTTTGACAACAGAAGTTTTTTGCTTTATGACTTTTTCTTATTGGGGTACTAGTTTAATTAAATAAAGGGTTTCATTCCAACTAAAAAAAATTAGAACATTTTTAATTTTTGCCAGTACTCTGTTAGGTATATATTTAAGTATCGACAACACTGTTAAGAATCGTACGGTTGTATATTTGTAACTAAATAAAGCAGTCTGAACTCGTCTCTTGCTCGTTTAATACAACATACTCGACTAGAGTCAATGGATCCCATATGATTTTCGTTGGGTTTTGTACTGTATTAAATAACATTTGCTGTAACTTACTTTTGCTCATTGCTGACGCATCGGTTTTTGTTTGTCTAACTTTCCCCGAGTAACGTACAGAGTGTGGAGGCTGGCAGGTCAACGCCTTCTTGCAGTAGAGCAGGAAAGATTCCAGCCATCCCTGTGGACTTCCACGGATGGAAAGTCTTCGCTCGTCACAATCGAATCTCTTCTGTTCTCCCTGAGAAGTGGTTTCAGAGTAATTGGTTCGCCCTCATCATTTTGACCGAGGGTTCTTGATCCCGGAAAGTGCGATTGAAGCAAACGCTCCAAAGTCTGTTTTGCGGTCTGTATAAACCATCTCAATTTTCTTCAAGGAAGCAATTCTACCTTCTGTTCCTTTTTGTAATGCTCTTTGGTGTGTGGCACCTTCAATTCAATTTCCTGGCAGTACCTCCTCCATGAGTCGCGTTTTGCCTTTCTTATACCCTTATTGTATTCGGTGAGTTCAGTTCGGTGTGAACCTCACTTCCCCGTGGCTTTATTAAAAAGCTTTACCTACAGCTAGTGTCTCTGGTCCCTGATGTAAGCAAGTTAAAAGTGAACCATAAGCTCCATTACCTTCGTGGATATCTCACTAGCAAGCAGCGAAAGTCATTCAGTCATAATTACAATGTAGCGTGGGAACAACTAAAGAACGTTCAAAAGGTTCAAAAGAACGTCCACAGCTGGCTCCGGTCCGTGAACCAGCCTACACAGCACTCTATCCTCATCATGTGTGTGATACTCGAAAGGAATGGGAAAGGTGAACTGATGAAGGCGACAAGTTTTCCACAATCCATTTCTCAACTTTATTCAGAAGCTGTAACTTTTGAACTAGTAACCCAATATTGGAGCTGTTTGAAATTATGAATTCTACAGGCCACATTCAATAAGAAATTTTTTCCCGGGTCAATCTGAGACAATTTCTTTTTCGGGCCTCAAAAAAGGCAGTGTATAACCTTCTTTTTTACCAAAAATCGACAACACCAAAATTTCTCGGGAAAACACTTTTTCTTATTAATGTTGGGGCGTAGAATCACAAACAATTCGTACTTTTTCGATTAGACTTCTCAATAAAAAGTTATGGACAAAAAACAAATTTCGAAAAAAAATTCAAAAGGGTGTAACTTTTGAACTAGTAGCCCAATCTTGGAACTGTTTGTAATTATGGATTCCACAGGCCACATTCTATAAGAAAATTTTTTTTCCGGGTCGATCTGATACAATTTTTTTTTCGGGCCTCAAAAAAAGGCAGTGTATAAACCTTCCTTTTTTTTACCAAAAATCGACTACAGCAAAATTTCTCGGGAAAACACTTTCTTATTAATTTTGGGGCGTAGAATCACAAACAATTCGTACTTTTTCGATTAGACCCCTCAATCAAAAGTTATGGACAAAAAACAAATTTCGAAAAAAAATTTAAAAGGGTGTAACTTTTGAACTAGTAGCCCAATCTTGGAACTGTTTGAAATTATGGATTCTACACGCCACATTCTATAAGAAATTTTTTTCCGCGTCGATCTGAGACAATTTTTTTTCGGCCCTCAAAAGAAGGCAGTGTGTAATGGTTCTGTACACGGTTGGTAGAATACCTAGATAAACGAGAACACCCGCTAGGAATATTTTATGATCTGACAAGAGCGTTTGATTGCGTCAATATTAAACACTTATTGGATAAGTTATGGCAATATGGCGTAAGGGGTGTAACTCTGCAATGGTTGTCCACATTTTTACTAGACAGGAAACAGGTTGTCACATTGACTCAATACCAAACTGGAGTTTACAGTAAACACACATCAAATTCTACAACTGTGAGATGGGCGTCAAACAGGGGTCAGTTTTGGGACCCATTCTCTTTTTACTCTATGTCAACGATTTAACATCTTGCCTAAATGAACAAATTGGTTGTGTGCTTTATGCGGATGCCACCTCCTTATTAATCTCAGATAAAGATCATAACTCTCTTCAAGCAATATCCGATGTAAATCTACGTAAACTTCATCAGTGGTTCAACAGGAACTCTTTAACTCTAAATGGAAACAAAGCAAGCTACATTAGATTTCATAATTACAATATTGAACCTCAAACTGTAAATTTATTAATCGACGGTAAGGCGATCCAAAAAGTAACTTCTACTAAGTTTCTAGGAATTATAATAGATGAACGTCTAAACTGGAAATTGCACTGTACTAAGGTCATTGATAAACTTTCCAAACTAAACTTTATGTTCAGGAACTTACGGACGGTTATGATGTTACCACAATTAATAAACATATATCATTGTGTTGGTTGCGTCTGTAATTAGGTATGGTATATGTCTATGGGGAATATCCATTAAGTCAAAACACGTATCTCAGAAACAAATTCTGAGAACAATTACGAATGTATCCAAATTTCATACCAGCAGGGAGATCTTCAGGG